ATATACAAGGGAACCCAACCAGGATCACACTTTAAAGACGACGTATCCGAATCAATGTGTATAAATGAAAAGACTTTGTTTTATTCAAAGAGTTTCAAGTCTTATCCTTTGTGGGTAACCCTGTATATGTGTAATAGATACTGATTAACCCTTTCAGGTTTTAGTTTAATTTTAGTTAAATTTCAAATACATGTAATTAACCTAAAAGATTCTAGTTCTAGTTTGTAAAACACACTCTTAACTAAATATGTCCGAATCCGAACTGAAATCGAACTATAGGACAAACTAATGATAAGTGTCGGAAATGTCGAACCTAGGACTGAGGTCTGGCAACCGTAAAAGTCGATCAAGTTCATTAGAATTGGTGACTGGTTTTTGTAAGTGTGTAGATTACAGAAAACAATTGCGGAAAAGTCCTAGTATAGGCTAAAAACTGTTTTATTCTATAGAAGCTAGAAAAATCAAAAGAACCGAATATGATTTTTTAATCTCTTTATTATAGCAACCTTTGATATTTCCAACCATGAATTCTGTCAGATCATATTATCTAAGTTTTAAATATTAAAGATTTACATCATATGGTTGCAGAGATATAACTGGATTAAAAAATTTGAGTTAGTGACAAAAAATTTTCTTTATCTTATATAGATTTTAAAAAACTCAAATCTATTTTGCAGGCATTAAAAAATCTATTTTTATCTTTCGGGCTCAAGAAATCTCTAAATTTTATCCTTAAAAAAACTTGAACCTATAGTTTTCTTGAACCTTGGGAATTTAGCAAGTTTTTTAGAACTAAATCTTCCTTCTAGAGGAACTTATTTATCCATAAAGCTGAGAAGGTTTCCATTGTATAGTCCTGATCCTGGATTAGGGTTGAGCCTGGGCATAATTGGTTGGTTTATCTGTTTTGACGTCTGAAAGTACATAATCTTGTATATATTGGGTGTTCAGTGTCTGATAGTACATAATCTTGTATATATTGGGTGTTCAGTGTTCAACACTCAAACATTTCAGAAATTAAACATACAGACAGGCAGACATATGAATATATATCAATATATGTACTTTGCTCATCTGTCTGTTTGTTTTTATGTATCCAATAAACGTAAAAACGGCTGAACCGATCGAGCCCAACATTTTTGAGTACCTCACCCCCGATAAGGTTTATTACTAAAACTTTGCTACTTATAAATTTACAATCTAATGAGGCAAACCTTTGATATTTGAAACTTTCAGAATTCATAGTTTTAAATACCAAAGGTCTACAACATCAAGTTACAAAGATACACACTTTCCTTTTCTAAAAAAGAATCTAATTTTCTCTTTAATATAACCTATCTATCTATCATTGCTTGGACTAAGTTGAATCAGGCATGAAAGTATGATGTGTATTATGTATAATGCAGAGTTCATTTCTAAACAAACTATGCTTTTTCTTCCAACATTGCCAAATTTTAGCGTGGAGAATTTAAAATTAAAGAGTCTAAATTCAACAAAAATGCGCGAATTTGGACCGTTCTGAATGCTTAGAAAATATATACACGAGATATAGAATTAACATCAGAAACTTCGTACTTGAAGAAAATCCTAGATTTATTTTCAACTTTTGCAAATTCATTCTTATTAGATAATTCTAGGGTTAAAGCGGGTTATGAAATGAAACATTAAAGAGCCAAATTTGCATCAGTTAAAAAGTTCGCAGATTTTCCCGTTTTCTTGGCTTTAAAATCTTTTTTCTGGGGTCATGTAATTTCAACTTAAAAAATCGGGTTAGCCGTTTGACGCTTATTGGATACAAACAAACAGACAATTCTTATATATAAACAATAAAATTGGAGCTTAATACCAACAAAAATAATGTTCATGTTAATACTTCTAATTGTTGTGAAGAGTTATGTTTGAATAATTGTAAATATACAGAGGAAGGTTTTATCTTTAGCTCCGGGTCCAGCTCTGACCAGTAAATATTCTCTAGGAGTATAATTGTATCCGTCCGAGCTGACTGTTAAGTATGTGTTGGGCCCCTCCTCGGGAGTGTAAAATTTTCTTTTGTTCCTGCCTATCAAACTTTTTGTTTCTCCTCATTCCGGTGTAGTAACATTCGCATTTTATAATTGAAAAATTATAAAAACGGTCCGACATAACAATTCTCGACCGAGGAAAAACATGATTTTTTCTCCTGTTCGTTTGGCCGGACAAAGAACTGAGAATATTAGGGTATGGTTTGGTTTAAATTTCACTTTAAAGGATTGATGAGAAATCAAATTATCCTCGGATTCCATGGTCTTTGAGACAAATCTAAACTATCCCAAATATGCTAGGTATTCAACGTACTTAGATATTTTTCAAGGGACGAATTGAAAAGAGTTTATTTTATCGAAAATCTCGTCTTCATGGACTTTTGTATTTTTTTTCTCTAAGGTGTGTTTGTTTGTGCATATGAGCGAGAGAGAGAGTGAGAGCTTTTAACAGAATATAAACACTATCTTATCTCTATATCTATCTATCTATCACAGCAGTTTGTCTCTTGACCTAAAATAGGTGGAGAGAAGATAAAAATACAATGAAGAGAGGATAGCAATATAGCAAAACAGGGGGGGGGATTAAGGGGAGGGAATATTTTGAGGAGGTGTGGCGGGGTAAACTTGAGGTTATATTAAGGGGTGAATAAGAATAAAAGTGGGGATAATGAGAAAAATAGAAGAGAATATTAGGCACGGTGAGAAGGAGGGGTTAGATGAAAAGAACTTTAAATTAAAGTTTAAATGTATAAAAATGCCGATGAAGAGACAAAGTAAACGGATCTCCCGTTCTTCGAACTGAAGGAGACAAAGACAAGAACATTTTTTCAATCTAAATATTTCAGATTATTTCTCAAAACACGATTTGTTCTCAGTAATGAAACCCTTTCCCAACTCTATAAGACTTGGATTTGCATAAAGGAGAGGAGTTAAAAGCAAATATTGAATGTGTGAGACAAAAAGTGGACATTCTTCAGCTGTATCTGGAACCAGGAGGAACCTAAAGTTTGATAAATGAACCCTGTTCTAAGCTGACAGTATCCCAGAAAGTGAAAAGATACTATGGCAAGAATCTGCCCAAAATCTGCAGGATTTTGGGGCGGAAACTTTTCAACTAGTGGTTCATAATGATCCTTCATGGCAGGCCATCATAGGTCTCTAGGTCCTTGATTAAACTTAGGTTTAGACCTGATTTCTCCAGATACAAACCTGGGACAGATGGAAGCGATTTAAAGATAAATCGATGTCCGAGATCTAAGAAAGCGGGTTCGGTTTTGGAGATTTCAATTACAGAAGAGAAAGACAGTGTAACAGAGGATCTAGGAGGGTGAGGTATGGGTCTCATTACTCCTCACAGCAAGATATCTACAGGGTTTCATTTCTCCATGAGCTAGATATAATTTCTCCAGGTCGGGCTTAGAACTAGAAATAAAACCAAACATTAAAATCTCCTCATTTTTCAATTAAAACCTATGATTTTCCAAAAGTCGGATATTTTGAAATATTGCACATTAAGGCTGTTTAAGGAAGAAAAGGGATGGGGGGGGGGTAATGACGTAATAACCTCCTTTGTTGTAAATATGTTTGAATATGTATTTGAGTAAATTTAATGTATGTTAAATGGTATGGTTTGAAGTGGGTTAAGATGATATGTATGACTGGTGTACAATGTATTTAAGGGTGTGTTTCTCGTCTAGCCTTTACAAATCATATTCTCCTTTATCTTCGGAGGAATCATATTCTTCTAACTACTCCCAACTAAATATCAACCTTATACAACTCGATGTAATGAGAAGATAGAAGGCGTAGAAGCATACATGAGAAAATTGTGTTCACTACATCCCTATGGTTAGGTTAGGGTTAGACCTACCCCATTTAACCAGCTAGCTGCAAACCTCAAACCTGAGATTGTTTCTTCTCTTTTATAGACCTTGGCTTAAACTTATTTAAACGAAGTCATGAGCTTTAATAATAAACTTTTTGAGAGTAGAGTAGAGGGTGTAGGTGGGGGGCTTATACTGGGGGGATTTGGACCATACTGGGAAGTGGGAGATTATAGAGACTTTAATCCTATAATCCTTGAGCATTAATAAACAGCAAAAGGAGGGTGTTAAGGTAGTTAAGTAAGAAGATAGATTAAGTGGAAGGGGATCAAGGAAGGAAAAGGGAAGGAAGGTGGATCTTAAGCAATGTATTCGGAGTAAGGAAAGGAGGTATATCAAGAGTAAGTAAATAAGCTGCAACTGGAATAAGGAATGTGTATCTGCAGTAAGGAAGGTGTATCTAGAGTAAGGAAGGTTTCTCTATAGGTAAGGAAGATGTATCTGCACTAAGGAAGGTATAACTAGAATAATATTGTTAGTCTAGGATTGATTGGGAAACTCTGTATCCTGAGATACAGAAGTCTGTAAACCACTAGGATTGATTAGGAACACTGTATCCTGAGATACAGAAGTCTGTAAACCTCTAGGGGGTAACATGACCAAACGTTTGTCAAAATTAAATCAAAATTCAAACCAATTCATCATACAACAAGCGCCAAAGCAATATTCAGCGGGAACTAGGAACCAGTTCTATTGTTTTTGTTCTAGGAACTAGGAACCATTTCTACTGTTTTTTCCTGGGACCTAGGCACCAGTTCTATTGTTTTTGATCTAGGAACTAGGAACCACTTCTACTGTTTTTTTCCTGGGAACTAGGAACCAGTTTAAATATTTTCTTCCTATGAACCAGGAACCTGTTCCATTGTTTCTCTACTGAGAACAAGGAACCAGTTCCAATTTTTTTCCTGGAAACTTGGTTTCAAGAACTTGTTCCCTTGATTCTGTCCTGGAAACTAAGAACCTGTTTCAATTTTCTGTTCTATAAACCAGGAACATATTTTAATGTTTATGTCCTGGGTACTGGAGACAATTCTGATATTTCTGTCCTAGGAACCAGGAACCTGTTTCAATGTTTATATTCTGGGAACCAGGCACTATGTGCCAATATGAACCTACTTTTACAACTACAAAGGAACAAATGCAAACAGAAGAAACTGAGAAGATAGAACCTGTAACCACTAACCAGATGTTGGAAGAATCTGGTAACTTTTGAGAAGGAAGGTATCAGGAACATGGAACCAGGAACATGGAACCAGGAACACTGAACCCAGAACATGGAACCAGGTAGATGGAACCAGGAACATGGAACTAGAAACATGGAAAGGAACATGGAACCAGGAACATTGAACCAAGAACATGGAACCAGGAACATTGAACCAAGAACATGGAACCAGAAACATTGAACCAAGGACAAAGAATCAGGAATATTTAACCAAGAACATGGAATCAGGAACATGGAATCAGCAACATGTAGCCAGAACATAGAATCAGGAATACGGAACCAGGAACATGGAACCAGGAACATGGAACCAGGAAAATGGAACCTACCTGGTACTAAGAGATGAAGTTTAAGCTGATACTATCTGAAGCGAAAGTACGAGTAAGGTTGCCAAATTCTACCAGGAAAATCTAGATCTTACAGGGTTGGATCATAGCCTGTAATGCAATCCTCCTGTATATCTATCAAATGCTATGCTTCTCTGACACCCTGTATAAGTTTGTTCAGGATTTAGGACACCCAGTCCCCCCTGGATCATGATATTATTAGGTTCACTCCGTGTTTATCCGTGAACTTGTGACCAAACTGATCTAATGTGGTATTGAGACACACTGAGTTTACGGATATCCGTATTTTATTCCCCCCCCCCCATCTCCATGACAATATTTAGCCCCCCCCCCCCACACACAAGTTTAGTGTTGAAAGAAGCAGGATTCAGGAAGGAAGAATAGGGGACTATTTCAGGGTAATGATAACTTGGTTAATCATATCAGTACAAGCTATCTATCTATCTATCTATCTATCTATTCATCTATCTATCTATCTATCTACTTATCTATCTATCTATATATCTATCTATCTATCTATCTATCTATCTAAGTATAACTACCCTACGATTATGTTTAATCAGTCCAATACGTACTCGAGGGTTTGGTTTAAACTATTATCATATCATGGTGTATCCGAGTTTAAACTTATTTATCCAATTAAACTCAATTACAATCCTTATCCGGGTTCCTGAGTAAACACACACAAAGGTAAACACAAGATCAATATAGATTAATCTTAGTAAATTCTTCAAAATCACGCCAACTTTTGTTTATATAAATTATACAGGGTTACCCAAAAAGAATGAGACTTTAATGAGAACCAGGAATTTCAGCTCAAACACTAAAAAAATCCGGAGAACCGTTTTTTGAAGTTTTATCTTTTGTGGGTATCCCTGTATAATATATTTATATTGTTGGTTCTAACAGTTCGAATTTTTTTAAAGAATTTCGAAACTGAATTAAGTTACAAATGGGAACTTTCTGGCTTGCATATTCTTCGATTATATTTTTGCTAACTTACCTAAAATCATATTCAAATTTAGTAAACAATCCTGTTAAAATACAAACTATGATAATGTTTTAGAACTCTGAAATGTTTAATATTTTGTTTATTGTCTGCAGATGTATGAAGAGTGTTTAAGTGTTAGAATATATAATTGTTTGCGGGCTTGAAGAAAGGATTTTTCTGGAGATCGTGGCAATATTTTAGAAAAATATGAATAAATTATCACAACATTACCCCTTCCCCTTTTCATTACCCCTCTCCCCCTGTTTTGGAGGGCTCTTAACTGCCTGTTTTAAATTCTAAAATTTTTTTTAACAGATTGTAATTTTTTGTATTTTTTCATATTATTTTTTTTCTTGCAAAATAAAAGTCTGCAAAACATTAAAAATATGTATCATTATATCTGTATATTTTGGATTTTCTCTTAGCTAATCAAATATCTGGTAAATTTTAAGTTTTTGATGTATAAAGCAAAAGGTCTGCATTATTTAAAGGGTAAAATTGTTATATTCTAGGAAAAGGGTATGCGGAGCGTCCGGAAAACTTAGTTCCCTCCATATATTTACGGGAGAGGAACATGGGAGGGGGGGGGGGGAATTTTCTACTTTTTTCTGTCATTGGAAAACGAGCTGAAAACTAAGCAAACCAAAAAGAAAAAAAATTTAAAACAAAACAATGCCGCGTAAAATTTTATCATATTGCGTGACTAAACTAATTGGCAACTTTTAGATTTTAAATTTGTATTTAATCCAGCAGAGAAGATGTTAAAAATTTAGAAATTAGGATGGTAGATGAGAGAAGAGAGGGGGGGGGGTTGTCAATTCTTGGACAATGTTCGGCACTTTGATCAAGAAAGTTTTTTCCGATTGTGAAAAATGTTAGATAACAAATATATTTTGTTAGTTTGGACATGGTCAAGACTGAAGATAAAATCCTTAAAAAACCTTGAAGCTTGAAACTGTCCGAAATGATAAAACAAGATACAAAGATTAATTATTAGATAACGGTGATTAAACTTATATCAATCTTTTTATGATAAATTCTCTATTATCAGATGAAGGATGGGGTAAATATAGAGGGGGCATTAAATACAGAGAGAATTTTATCGGATACCAGATAGGGTATCAGATCGGATATCAGATAGGATACCAGATCGGATACCAGATAGGATACCGGATAGGATACCAGATAGGATACCAGATCGGATATCAGATAGGATACCGGATCGGATACCAGATAGGATACCGGATAGGATACCAGATAGGATACCAGATAGGATACCAGATCGGATACCAGATCGGATACCAGATTGGGTACCAGACAGGATACCAGACAGGATACCAGATAGGATACCAGATCGGATACCAGATAGGATACCAGATAGGATACCAGATAGGTAACTATATATGAATATAAGATAATTAAAATACATAGATTGTATCCTGCACTCTGCAGTGATGTTACAAAGATTCGAAATTAAACTTTTTTCTCCGTGGCAAACAACTATTACAACTTTGGCGACCTTTTTTCGAGGCTTTTTTATTTTATGAATACTTAAACAAAAAAATTTCGCTGGAAAAAAAGTTTGCAAGAATGTCGATTTTTTGCACAGTTTGGATTGATTTTTAATCCCCTTTTCTTTAGATTTAGTTAAATGACTTGGTAATATTGTTGACAGGCAGACGCCCACACAAACTGCCTGAGGCCTCCAGCTTGAGGCAGTCAGGCAGCTTTCCAGGCAGATAGAATTAGATTTCGGTTTGAAGCAATTATTCAGATTCAATCATATTTATTTCACTGAGTAGAGATTAATCTATTGTTTATCTTAGATTCATATTTGGCTCCGAACCCAGATATATATTGTATATATATGTATATCCATATATACATGGAGTAGAAGTAACCATTAATCCTGATTTCTAGGTTCCAGGTACATATGGAGTAGATCAAACCATAGCTCCAGGTTCCAAATAGAGTAGGCAGAACCATTAAACCATTGTTCCAGGTTCCAGATATATATATCTAATCTTTATATTCAGGTTCCAAATGTATAATGTATCATTGTTTATTACTTAAAAAAAGTTTATGGAACCATTTATCCGTTCCAAATATACTTGGGGTAATGTTTACTCTTAAAACTTAGCTCCAGGTTCTAGACATAACCGGAGTAAGTAGCAAAAATATGAAGCTGGACTTCAGGTATAAATGGAATCTAATAATAGAATGGTTTTTTTCTTTTCAAATTCTAAATATCTGAAGAATTAAAAGTATTTCTCTCCGTACCTTCATAAAATTCCCAGACAATGCTGGACGAATAATCGATTAAATAAAGATTTGTTTTTAATAGAAATATTTCCGTGTGAAGAAGAGAAGGGGAGAAGAGGAAGTTGTCGTTTAACTCTAAACAAACTGAGAACTGGGGGGTATACTTGATTAATATATTGCTAAACTGTCACAGACAATAGTAATCATTGTGTAAACAGAGAAACTTTGAACCAGGAGATATTTAAGATGACAAAACTAAATAAAAAAGATTAATGTTTGTCCTCGAACCATCGGAAGAATCGAAGATATAGAATTAGGCGTATATAAGTATTGTAGTTGTTTGATGGTCAGAACTCTATTGTTGTTGTTTATCCGGCCAAAAAACCTTCTAAACACGACTTTACGCAACCATCAACAAATACGGAAACATACTTAATCTCTTCACATGGCTTTAAGTAGTGCTTGAATTAATTCTCAGGACTAAATTTTGCTGGAAAATGTTGAAACTATTCGAGAATGAGAACATTAAGAAAAAGTCACGTCGGCACATATAGGCAGATTTCTCTTCGCAACATGAACATTTCGTTTTTTCTTGAAACAAATGTGGGAGTTTTGAAAACAACAGATTATCTTGTATATTTCTCTCTATGATACCTTTCCAGCTACCGTTGAGCTCACCAAGCTAAGATCAGGGT